CCTGCTGGCATTTCAATAAGCAAATATGCCAACACAGTAAACGCTGCCCAGGATGACAATCATCCAACCTTGAGACGAAACAAATGCAGCAATGCTGATGGAGAAAGGCCTGACGGACGAGCAATGCTGCCCTGGAGAGACCAGGGTCCACGTGGAGAGCAAGACCAAACCAGAGGGGCAGGGTCTCCTGATGGTCTGGAAACCCAATGTCTTTCCTGACAGCCCTCTTGCATCAGAAAGATTTTAACCCTCACTATCTTGCAAGTGCCTTGTACGCAGTAAGCCCCTGACAAGTATTTACTGAATGAGTAAATGAAAAGAAGCCCCATATGGCCACCACTGTGGTCAATGGCTCAGCAGAATCACCTGGGAGCTTATGAAAGAGGGGTTCAGTCTTACCCTGGAGGGTGTTAGATCAGTAGGTCTCAGGGAGGGATGAGGAGTGGATCCCTGTACAGCTGTGTTCAAAGAAGCTGAAGGTGGGCTCCATGAATCATGACCTGGACTCCCACTAAATATCTGTAGGATGCACACCGAAGTCGGACATCTGCTAACTTAGGATGAGCTGTTCCTGACCAACTTGTGCCACCAGAAGGCTCCGGGCCTCCTCTGTGAGCCCGAACAGCCCTGATGACCCTGGGGGAGCTCAGATCTGTGCTTGGATGGCCTGCAGCTCTCTCCAGCCGCCCTGCCAACACCGCAGCTCAGCAAGAGCCCGAAATCCAGCCCTCTTTCATTTATTGTCAGGATTCCAGACATCTGAATGAAGAGCTAGGTTGTTTTTGTCCCTGTGTTGAATGAATGGCTCTCAAGCCACAGCCCCAACGCCAGCTTACCCAGGGACGCGAACTGTTTGTGGAGGGCCAGGCGGGACTGCACTCTGGTCTTTAGCAGTTTCATGGTGGTCTCCATGTGGCTGGAGCTCAGCGAGTGGTCAGCGATCACTGTGGGCTGTGGATGACAGCAAGGGGCACACCTGAGTGCTCGTCCCTTCCTCCAGGCACCGCCTCTCTCTGAGGCCCTGCCTGCCTGTGGCAGCCGAGCTCACCCATGCCCTGAGGTGGGCACCTGATGGGGAAAGGCAGGGTTTACCTGCTGTGACAGGCCAGACGCTGCCCTTCAGTTGTGCTGCACCCAGAGCAAGGACCCAAGTTACTTTGATCTAGAGGGTTTCTAGACTCAGGGAGAAGGCAAAGGTACCTAAACACTTGTAGGCCTTGGGCATTTTAGTGTGCTGGGTGGAGGGAGGATAGAGCATATGCTTAAGGGAACGCAGTCTGCTAGTGTGAAGCCCCCGGAAGCCCCCAGAAGCCTTTCTGGAGTCTGTGTGGGCAGAGAGGAGGTAGAGCTCTGCAGCTAAGGAGATGGGGTCAGTGTACACACCTGGGGCTGCTCTTTAGGGAAGTGGAGGCCGCCCAGCTTCTGTACCCACAAGTAGGGGTGTCCTAAATCAAGCACGTAGTCTCTCAGAGTCAGGATGCTGCATAAAAGAGTAAAATAATTTTATAAGTCCTTTCTGCAATGGTCCCAGGATATAGTCTTCCTCCCAATCACCCCAAACAGGTCGGCCCCGCAGGCCCAGCCATGCTTACAGCCAGGCTACCACAGTGCCTCTTGGCTTCAGCGGTTCCCTATTGTAGATTTCATCTCTCCCATGTTCACTTTTCTCTTTTCCCCCGACAGTCCTCAACTAATCAGCAAATCTCAATAAAAAAGCAGTGCACACAATCGTTCTCTTGACCAGTTTACCAATTCATAAAATAGTTTAAAATGTTTTTAATCCTCAGAGAATTAAAATGGTCAACATTTTTATTGTCATGTGTTTTTATCATGTTCCCCACCCACCCATCCATGACGGCCGTTTGCCTCATAAGCAAACGTGTTCCTGTGTTCCCTTCTCTCAACAGAGCGTTCTCCCCTGCCCCACGGTCTCCCTACCCCCCGAGAGGCTCTGGCCCGACCAGGTCTCCTGCATTAAGCTTGAGCCACCAGAGAAACTCAGAAGCAGAGAAGATGAGAAAGGAGGAAATACTGCTGACTCACCCCACTTTATCAAACTGGTACTGATTGGCTGGATTCGGCGTTTTCTTTCCATGATCCCCAGGATACAAACAGCTCAGGACTGAGTCAGGAGACAGCAAGTCACTGGAAAGGGAGCAGACTGCAGTGAGAATGCGGCCCAACACCTTGTCTCGAGGCAGACTTGGACACTTGGGGGTGGTCATGTCACTTCGCATTGATGATCAACGCCACCGTTTATGGAATGCTTCCTGTGAGTCAGACGCTTTATACACCTGAGGTCATTGGATCTTCATAACCCTATGAGGTACAGAGTATTATCATTTCCATTTTATAGAGGAGAAACTCAAGGCTTTGAAAGATATGGCTTGTCCAAAATCATGCTGCTAGTAAGTGCTGGAGCTGAGATTTGCACTAAGAAAAGGTAGTAGTACTGCCCTAGCTGGTGTGCTCAGTGGATAGAGCATAAGCCTGTGGACTGAAGGATCCCAGGTTTGATTCCAGTCAAGGGCACATGCCCGGGTTGCAGGCTCAATCCCCAGTAGGGGGCATGCAGGAGGCAGCTGATCAATGGTTCTCTCTCATCTTTGATGTTTCTGTCGCTCTCTCCCTCTTCCTTCCTCTCTGAAGTCAATAACAATATATATTTTTTAAAAAGTCAGTAGTACTCTTACCCACCAAAAAACAACAAAAAATCCCTATCCATCTGGCCACTGTGGCTCAATGATTGAGTGTCAATCCAGGAACCAGGAGGTCGCTGGTTTGATTCTCAGTCATCAGGGCACATGCCTGAGTTTCGGGGTCCATCCCCAGTAGGGGGCATGCAGGAGGCAGCTGATCGATGAGGTCTTTTCTCATCAATGTTTCCATCTCTCTATCCCTCTTCTTTCCCCTCCCTCTAAAAACAATAAGAAAACAAACAAACAAAAAACCCCTATCCCTTCAGTTATATGGTGATCAGGGCCTTACCTAAGGGGAGCAAAGCCCCATGACACTGGAAATAGAAATAATCATAATTTTTATAGAAGCAGAAAAATACCTTTCTACCCCAGAAAGGAAGTGTGCAACTTTGGTGCTGTGTCTATCACACTTTGACAAAATTTCACGCTACTCACAAGAAAATGCCCCCTTTGTATTCGAAGAAAAAGACATTATCGCCTGCACTGGAGACAGGTGGCCCAGTGCTATAAGCAGAAAGACAGTGACACCACTGCCACCCAACTGGAATGGCTAGGGCACAGCCCGTAATTAAGTGTGACAAGCAGAGAAGAGAATTGGGGGGGAGCATAATAATAGAGTAATCTGATCACAAAGGACAACAGGGCCCACTATTTCCCTCAATCAGTATAGAGGTCTCCATTTTTTCAGGAATAGCATCAGGAGAAACTCAGGCAGAAGAACTAATCCTGCTGCCCTGAGCCCCAAAATGACTTCGGGACTTAATACTGCGGCACTGGCAGCTTTTGACTGCTCTGTTCTCCGTCTCTCCCAGAATCTCTCTGTCTCCACTATCACCCAGCAAGGCTCTGCCCCTTTCACTGCCTCACATGGAAAATGGGCAAGAAAATAAATAGGAATTGCTAGTCCTTGGCCAATATTTAAGGGTTTCTAATTGACAAATCTTGATGGAAGAATCAATTTTTTTTTAAGTTTTTATTGATTTTAGAGAGAGAGGAAGGGAGAGGGAGAGGGAGAGAGAATCATCGATTGGCTGCCTCCTGCATGCCCCCTACTGGGGATCGAGTCTGCAACCTGGGCATGTGCCCTGACTAGGAATCGACTATGTGACCTCTTGGTTCAGCGTCTATGCTCAACTACGGAGCCACGCTGGCTGGGGAGAAGAATAAAATCTCCCTGACAAAACTTACGTCTGTAATATATGTCTCAAGACGTCTGACTTTGGTAAAAACAACGACATGAAAGGGGAAGCTATAGTCATAAAAATACAACATCGAAACAAAAAGCTATTCAATTAGTCAAATCTGCCGAAACCGGTTTGGCTCAGTGGATGGAGCGACGGCCTGCGGACTGAAGGGTCCCAGGTTCGATTCCGGTCAAAAACCCTGCAGGGCCCACCACAGTCCTCCTCCCACTTCCCAGGTTAAGGACGATCTGGGATTGAGCTGAGTGTAAAGTGAAAATCCCAGCACCTTGTGATAGAAAAGGAAAAGCTGTCAACCTGATAATGTGCCAAATCGCATTTCATGCTCTTCCAACACTGGCTGTAAAAGCTGTTCCTCTGCCCCACCGCCTCGATTTGCAGAATGCCGCAGTCACTTTTATCATCTGCTGTGTAGCAGTGCGTCACTAAGTCAAGTCGGTGAGTGCTTTCTAAATACCAGTGACGTGCCAGGACTTCCAGGCCGGTGGACATGATGACAGAATTTAAAGTAGGCACGAACCTCTCGGAGCCAGAGGAGAGAGAAACTGAGAGCAGCCCGCACCACGGCGCTCGTCACAGCCCCAGCCCTTGTCCCCCTCCGCCACGCCTGCTCCTACCCTGCACTGATGGGGGTGATCAGCTCCGTGGCAGTTGTCACTCTGGCTTTTACTGTCATGATGTTGAGGTTCATGAGATAGTAGAACGTCAGGTGAAGCACACTGTCATCTGGATGGGGAGGGAGAGAAAAGGATGCACGAGTGAAACATGAGAGCTGAGTTATTAGTTTTACAGAAACGGACGTCCATGAGGCTTTAAGATATTTTACTGTGAAAACAAAAACCCGATGGCAATTTAAGGTTGAGAGAGAAAAAAAAAGGAGAGCGTCTACAAATTCCTTGTTACTTCTCCCCCCAAAAGGTGGATCTCCATTTCCCTCCCCTTGAGTGTGGGCTGGACTTACAGACCCTGCCTCTGACCAAGACAGTATGAAAGGGAGTGATCAAGTGATCACCAAGTGGATCCGAGTTTACATCACCAGGAATAAGACACAATGATACCATGTACCCCTGACAATGAAGATCACCAGAGAAATATGAAATCAGAATCTGTTCTAGGGCAAAGAGGCCCTGGCTTGCAGGGTCCTGTGCCCCTACAGCTGGCGGAACTCCTAAGTGCTATGGGACCCCCAGAACAAGGGAGCTAGACCTTTGCACTTCAGGTCCAGCATGACGGACAGCGGGTGCCTCTTCAGCATCTCCTTGCGTTTGTCATCCAACTGAACTCCCAGTGTGGGTCGCCGGCGTTTCTGGACAAAGGAAAGAATGGACCTGATGAGCACTGGTCGTACACAATCTCTCCCTGCCTTCTCTCTACCGGCCAGGGCCTCAGCACTGCTGCCTGGGACCTGATGCTTCAGCTATTCAGTGGCCAGGCTCCCAGCAGCCCTTTCCTTCAAACCTTTCTTCTGCTTCTAGGAAGGATGGCACTTGCCAACTAGCAGGCCCCGGTGCAGCTGCTTGGCACGCCCACAAGAGGGAACAGCTCTCACCGTGGTCTGCTCCTCCTCGGCATCCGAGTCGCTCTCGTCATCTGCAGACACAGAGAGAAGGCGTAGAGTGGAGGGGGCTCCTGATGCTCCCAAAAGCACCTCAACCCAGGGCGGAAAGGGGCCCAGACTCTCTGTCATTTATTAATGCTTCTTTTAGGATAAATTAATTTGCTGCTTCATATTCAGTATAGAAAACATGATGATGCAAGCAAACAAAGAAAAATGGCCCTGACTGGTTTGGCTCAGTGGATAGAGCACTGGCCTGCGGACTGAAGGGTCCCAAGTTTAATTCTGGTCAAGGGCATGTACCTTGGGTGCGGGCACATCCCCAGTAGGGAGTGTGCAGGAGGCAGCCAATCGATGTTTCTCTCTCATCGTTGTTTCTAACTCTCTATCCCTCTCCCTTCCTCTCTGTAAAAAATCAATAAAATATATTAAAAACAAAACAAAACGAAGAAAAATGACCTGTAATCACACCACCCATCTTTTAGAGTTTTTTTTACACGTTTTTTGATGTTCTCCTATGCCCCTCCACTGGTAGTGGTGGTGGTGGTAGCAATAATAGTAATAAAGTAACAATAATAGCAGCTCATATAATTTGAGTGGTTGCTATGTGCGCCCAGGATGATGCTAAAGGCTTTTGCATGCATAACCTTGTTTAATTCACATAATTCTACATGAGGTGTTACTATCCTGTTTGGACAGGTGACTAAACGGAGGCTCAAAGGTTAAAGTGCTTCCCCGGAAAGTGAGCTAGTGAGTGCAGGGCTGAAATCCACAGTCAGGCTTTCCCTGTCCCCCACTGAACACAGTCAGGTTCCCTGTTAAACAAAATCAGTACAGCTAACTTCCAAAGGGCCAGCACTGCCCTCAGCTGGTGACTTGGTGTCCCCGGAGCCAGCTACAGAAGACGGGGGAGGATCTGACCAGCACATTACCTTGGGATTCCTCGTGAGGCTTAAACAGGGCCTTGGCTTCATCCACACTGCCTTCGATCGCCACAGACAGTGTTTTATCTGGGAGCAAGAAGAAGCTTTGTATGACAGCCGCCGAGGGCAGGAGCTCAGCCGCACGGGCAGGCCAGCTCCGGGACTGCATCTCTTCTGCCTGTGTCACAGCTCCTTACTGACTGGGGTGGGAGGACAAAAGCCCTTTCTCCAGATGAAGAGAAACAGGTAGGAAACTTAAGTATTTTTGCATCATTTACCGAGAACAAAGAACCCAAAGTGTAGATTCCTGGACAAGTATGACCTGAGACTAGTGGTGAACACCTCCAGTTTCAGGCTTATACGAAGGTTCAGAAACCGCAACCTCGGGCCTAAAGCCACATGGTCCTCTCCTGCCAAATGCCTTAAAGGTTCTCACGCAGAAACCGTAACTGTCACATCCCAGAAATAAGGGCTTTCACCCGACTAAGTGTTCACTCTCTCTGCCACACTGCACCAAGCACCCAGCTGGCACTGTGGCATCTAACTGGGAGGCAGGAGGACAGTGGGCAGAAACCTGGACCCTGCAGTCTAGTCCTAGACCTGAGTCACAGTTCCAATTCCCAAACCTGTGACCTGGAAAGTTATGTCACAGCACTGAGCCCCCGGTTCTGCATTTATGAAATCAGAATGTGACTAATGAGAGCTGGCCAGTCAGATGGTGAGGTGATGTTTATAATGAATGAGCAGATGCTTATAATTATAAAATTAATTTTTAAAAAATTATAATCTTCTGGCTGGCACCATTTTGGGGCTCAGCCCTTCTGGTTTTCCAGATGACCTAGTTTACAGCCTCCTGTGTTCCTCCTTCACCAACCCTAACAATAATGTCTTTGCTTTGTTCAAGGTCACAGCCCTACTCATTCTCAGGAAATACCAACTCTAGACACCATCACCACCTCCTTCCCTGCCCGAGCCACATCGCCCCTCTGACAGTGAGCGAGCATCTCTTGGCTCTTTAGAAAACATCACCCCCTTCAGCAGAAAGCACCTACAGAGGAGACCCTGAACCCCTTTCGCTGAAGTCATTCAGAGCCAAGATCCTTGAGGGGGGATATTGCAGGCAGTTAGACAGACGTGAGCAGAGCAAGGACAATGGCCGGGTACTGGTGGTCACCAGAGTGGCAAGCCCCAGGTGCCTGCACCAGGCAATCAATTATGGGGGGCGGGGGGGGGCTCATCTCCAGAGTGACCTTTCCTTCCTTAGTATATCGAAGGTCATGTGGTTTGGACCCCCAGACCTTTCCCCGCTAGAAATAACATCTAGGCCTCAGTTGTATTTCAGCTCCAGGCCCAGAAAAGCGACAAAAACCAGCCGCTGAACAATGACCCCCTACTCCGGTGCCAGCCAATCAATCAGTGGAGACCACCACCTGAAAGGGTAGGCCCGGAAAACTGCTGAATATTCTGTTAAGGTCTTCCCCTAGGACCTCCCCTAAAATCTCCAGCTTTATAACCCTTCGGAGGAAGACCCAATGAGCTCTCCTCCACGGAGAAGGCCCATGCCTTTCCCATCTCCTTTCCTCGCCCTCCTCCTTCCCCGCCCCAGGCACATTACCATGACCTTCCTCACTCCCAGGCTCAAGGGCTCTTCCTTTAACTCTATAAACTGTGTCCTAAGCTCAAATCTTCTAGGAATTACTTCTGCCTCTGTGATTTACCAAATAAATGTTCTCTTACAAAAATAAACAAATAATACAATAAAAATTATCATCTTCCTGACTGGTGTGGTTCAGTTGCTTGGAGCGTCATCCCTTATACCAAAAGGCTGCAGATTCTATTCCAGGTCAGGGCACATACCCAGGTTGTGGGTTCGATCCCTGGCCTGGTGTGTATGGGAGGCAACTGATTCATGTTTCTCTCTCCCTCCCTTTCTCTCCAAAATCAACAAAAACATTTTAAAAAATTTCCATCTTCACAACAACCCTATAGGAGTAACACTATTATTATACTTTTTTACATTTACAGATGAGAAAATGAAGGCTTATAGAAGTTTGATACAACAGCCAGGAAAAAAATAAGCTAGGTCTATTTGACTTGAACTTGGCATCTCAAGAACCATGCACCAGACCCGTCATCTTCCTGAGTGATGCATGGTCTTGCCTTTGTGGAGCCCCGTGGGTCTAGGGCTGGAGGTCAGACAGACCACCTCCCGTCCTGCTCCATTCAAAAGAATATACAGATCACAGACAGTCACAAGCAGCCTGAAATGATTTGTCCAATCGTGCTAAGGAGGGATGGCAAACTTCCCCCAAGTGGCAGGTCACTGGGATAATATTCCCAGGTAGCCGACCACTACTCTCTCTAACAAACCTGCATGACCCATCACACCTTACCCCAAATAAGCTGGCTGCCCCCATCGACCACTGGCAAACTTTTGAGTAACTTAGTCCTGAAATTCTACAGTAAAATGAGAATGGAAATAGGTTGAGGTTTAAACAGAAAAGAAAATTACTCACCCTGTCTAGGGGGCTGGGAGGATTTCATATGAGCTGATGATGGAAACAACGGGGGAGGACAACGGGGAGGGAGGACAGGGAGGGAGAGGACCAGAAGGACCCAGAAGACATAAGAAGAGAGACAGTGATGTGGTGAAGGAGAGGCATGCCTGGTGGGGGTGGGGAAGAAAGCTTTAGGTGCTGGGTGAAAGCGGCAATAGAGCAAGAGGCAGGGTCTCCAAAACGTCTCAAAACCCTGGAGGAGTAAAGGGCTGCCTTTAAGCTTATCATGAGGACACATTCCCTCACTGGGCAATTCACCGTAATGACATGCAGCCCGTTTGGGGCATGGAAAAGCCTAGGAGAGCTGGCTGGGACCTGTGTTCAGTTTCTGAAGCTCAGCAAGAGGTGCCGATCCGCCTGCCAAACGTGCTTTGGGCTGCCCGGGCACTGCCCTCAACAGCCGACCAGCCAGGCTCATCAAAGAGTCAAAGCCATCCATTTTGAAACGCCCATCGGTTTAGTCCAGCCGCAGGCCCGCTAGTCAAAGCAGCCATGCTGGGTGTGCACAGGGCAGGCAGCACCGGTCACCTGAGGGCGTCTGACCAAGGCCTAGAGCTTTCCTCAGCAGGCAGTGCTTCCAAATGACCCCGTCAGCCACAGCTGCTGCTCCCACGGCCCCTCTTCGGCACCAGGCCCCGTACTTACCACAGGCCTGCCCATACGCAGTGGCCTGGACAAAGAGGACATAGAGGGGAGGCGGCAGGTGTCTGGCCGTCTCATATTGTTTGTGAGCCTGGTCAAAAGGCATGAACAGGTACTCTTGCACCGGGAGGGAAGCCTGCAAGCGTTGATGAGGATGAGGAGCCATTAGAACTTTCTCATAGTGCTGAAGGAAATTTCCGTAAATCAGTACAGTCACTTTACAAACCTAAATATTTGCAGGCATATTTTTTAACAGGAAAAATTAAGTATCGCCCACTCTCTTAGTTTCCATTTTTGTTCTGTCCCATTATCCCATTATAAAGCGTTCCTGGGAATATATCTGTTAATAATTCTAATTCTATGCCTAGTGTGGAAGGGAGGAAATGTAGACTTGCCAAACCCCAGAAAAGGGAATTAGTAATTTCTCTAGGGTCCTTTTGCCAAGTTCCTTCATATTAACCATTTACCCTGCTTCATAAAACTGTAAGGGCTTAGCCCAACTCTGGCTTCACAAAGCAAACAAAATCAGGCACCTACATAGACAGACACTACAGTTTACAGGTGAAGTGGGGACTTTTCGTCCTAGGGTACTGATGGCTTTCAAATATGAGTCATGTTTTCACAGTGCGTAAATCTACTAAAAATCTTCCCCTGAGGTACAATCAGGGGGCTCTAACAAAAATCCACAGCACACTTAGGCACCTACAGACTTCGGGGGCTGGTTAAGACCATGTAGGGGGTAAACTAAAGAGTTTGCAAAAGTGGGCCTGGTCGGTGCGGCTCAGTTGGTTGGTCAAAGCGTGCACCGAAAGGTGGCCAGTTCAATTCTGGTGAGGGGTGCAGGAGGCAGCTGATCAATGTTTCTCTCTTACATTGATGTTTTTATGTTTTTCTCTCTCTCCTTCTCCCTTCCTCTCTCTCTAAAAAATCAATAAAAAAAAAATCTATATATTTTTTAAAAACGTGTTTTACTGGGATAAGGCTTTGGGATAACCCTGGCCAGTGGTTGGAGTGTTGGCCTATGCACCCAAGGGTCTTGTGTCCGATTCCGAGTCAGGACACGTACCTGGGTTAGATCCCTGGCACCAGTTGGGAAGAATATGGGAGGCAACCAATCGATGTATCTCTTTCACATTGATGTTTCTCTCTCTCCCCCTCTCTCTCTTTCTCCTCTTCCCTCCCTTCAACTCTCTCTAAAAATCCATGGAGAATACATCCTCGGGTGAGGATGAACAAACAAACAAACAAAAGGAAAGCATCCCAAGTTAACTGTGTATATGTCCCTGAGTCCACCTGGCCAGCTTTTCTTCTACCCAGGACCATCCTCGAACTGTACCCTAACTCAGGTTAGGGTGACACACCTGGCAAAAGCCAAAGGCAGACATAGCTGCTGACGGCTCGAGTCAGCAGGGTCTCCCTGGTTCTTCGGTGGAGGCAAAGCAGAGGCTGATGGGGTGAGGGTAGGGGAAGGCCCTCACCTGCATGATGCTGTTCAGGCGAGGCTGGAGGCTGCTCAGGTATTCCTTCTTCACTTCAATCTCCTTAAGGATCTTCTCCTTGTTGGAGAGGGACTCGCGGTACTTCTCCGCCAACCTGTGGGGAAAGGACAGAGCACTGTCCCTAGATGCTCTCCAGGGATATTCACTGTCAGAATCCCCCTAGTAAAAGCAGCTGGGATGAACCAATGTTTCCCTAGCACGTACTATATGCCTGGCACTTTGAAGAACTCTTTACAAGCATTACATCTTTATAAAAACCCTGTTAGAGCCAGCTGGTGTGGTTCAGCGGTTGAGCGTTGACCTATGAACCAGGAGGTCATGGTTCAATTCCCAGTCAGGACACATGCCCGGGTTTCGGGCTTGATCCCCAGCAGGGGGCATGCAGCCGATCAATGATTCTCATCATTCATGTTTCTATCTCTCTCCCTTTCCCTTCCTCTCTGAAAATCAGTAAAAATATATTTAAAAAAATGAAAAAACAAAAGCCTTGCGTCTGTTGAAAACAAGCAAACAAAAAAACAAGAACAACAACCCTGGAAGACAGGGTCTTTTCTTATCCCCGAAGGAGGACGTGAAGGCTCAGGGAGGTAGATAACTTGCCCAAGGTCATCCAGGAAAGAGCAAGCACGGACCTAGGCTTTGAATCCATGCCTGTCTGGCCCCAGAGACTGTCCATAACCTCTAGGGAATACCCCCGTGTCATCTGCTCCATTTCTTGCCTCTAGACGCCAGACCCAAACTTGCACAAACATGTGGACCTAACAGCTACAGGACCCAAATGAGGCCACAGAGTGGCTTGAGTGGGGCCGGGCGGGGCAGGATTCCAGGCCAGTGCCACAGGAATACAACACTCACAGTTCAGCCTGTGCCGGGAGCACAGGGGGGTGACAGGCCCATGTGCTAAAAATTGACACCAATCCCTAAGAATCAGACTTAGTGCTTATTAAATTCATAACATGGACCAAAGGCACAGAATACATTCAATAATCGAAAAAGGCCAGGGATAAAAACAGCTGCTTCTCCAAAGAAAAACGGTCCAATCCAATCAGGGAACGATTATGTGAGCTACAATTTGTCTATACATGAAATATCGTACAACCTTCTAAAATAACGTTTGCAGAGCTTTATAAACCACAGGGGAAAAGGACAAAATCAAAATCAGATTTATGGTACAAAAGGTATTTAGGTCTCAGGTGTCAAAATTTTAAAAGAAAGATTACTCCAACTTTCCGTCAACAGCCTTAAGCAATTCCAACCCCACTCATGGTGCAGTTGGCCAATTCTGAACTATTGGGTGTGAATTCATCACAAAATGGGGTTTGGTCTTAGAGACCATTCTGCCGGCTGCACAGAGCTTTGCTGTCTGATTGTGGATCATAACAAAGTGCTATCCCCGCGGTTAAAGGGCCGTGTCTGCACAGGTTCACAAGGTCAGGAAGCGGAAAGCCACCTTTTCCGCTGCTCCAACTCCCAGTCCAGACGTGCAAGGGTTTGCTGGTGAGGGTCTCCCGTGGTGATCTCAGCCTTGCTGATATCTGGAGGAGCCTCCTGATAAAACTCCTCTACACTGACCAGGTCAATTTCTTCATGCTTTGACCTACAGACAAAAACAAATGTCAAGCTGCCGTTGTTAGGAACCCAAACTGTGGCTTAAGCAGGCCCCCAGTTCCTCCCCATGTACACCCACTTAGCCCAGGTCTGTAGCTATGCAGGGACACGCCTCACTCCAGGGCCACTGGCTCTCCATGGGCCTAGTTCCACTGCATTTTGGGTTTATCAGCTTTCATCTGAGCAATGGTTACAGGCTGGGGCAACGCGTTCTTTTCGCCTTTGTTTTCATACCTGGAGTGAGGGTGTATTTCCTCCACATACCCTTCCCCTCCAGTAACAATCTTATCTAAACAGTACAAAGTCAAAACCAGGAACGTGGCAATGGTACCATACTACTCAGACCTGATGTGGATTTCACCTCTATTAGTATTTAAGTATTACTATGTGATGAATTTGTGGAGCAGATAAAGATTCCTCAAAAATCATCATCGTTATTATTAAAAATAAACTAGACCCAATGTCTAATGTGCCCACTCACCCCAAGTTTATTACAAATAACACCTTTCATTTGGCACAAATGGGTCTGACCAAGCAAGAGTATGCTCCCTTCTCTTCTACTCCTTCCTCCCTTCTCATCTCTCACCTTGGATTTGCCAAGAGGCATTATTACATTTTAGAAAGAACACTGCAAATTCTCATTTGTTCACCAAAGGCAGCTAAGCAGCAAGAAATCCCGGTTTGCAAAAATGAACTGCTGGAACTTTAGAGATGAAAACTGGGCCAAAAGGATAAAAGGACATGACTGCAGGTGAGCTGCTCCCAAGAAGGCTGCTCAGAAATCAAACTGGTAATGAACGCAAAGGCCCCTACTAGGGAGAGACAACTGCTCTGACCAGGTGCAGAGCTCAAAACTCAGAATGGTCAGACAGGCTTCGGAGTTTCTTTGCGCAGAAACTATTGCCTCCAACCTTCCCACTCAAAGTCATCTATTCACCCTTCTCCCAGGTCTTACGGTCTCCACAATCATCTGATTTCTTTTTGAAGAGACCAGCTCACACAGAGCTATGCGGGAAAAGGCAGTTACTAACAGACCCTCTGGCCAAAGCCCTGGCCTCCAAAACTCACTTGAACTCCAGACATTTAGTGATCTCCTTCTGCAGGTGCATCACCTCGTACAGCAGGTTCTGGAGCTGCAGGTGATACGCGTCCACTTTCTGCTTGGCCTGCCAGGAGGACAAGGTCAGAGGTGAGGGGGCAAGTCGGGGTGCGGCGGGGCAGAGCAGCGTGGCAGCCAACTCAGAAAAAGGGGTAAAGGGCACTGAGAAGGGGATGGGGAGGAGGGAGGAGAAGGGCTAAACCTCTCAACTCCTACCTCATGGGTCTGATCTCGTCCTTTCTTCAACCTGATGTGGGCTAATCGGTTAAGCTTCTTTAGAGTCATGAAATGAACACAGCTCAGGATCCTGCGATCTTCAATCTCAGCTGCCTGCGGGCAAAGAAAAGCTGGTAACACCGCAAGAACGGGCACGGCTTGCTTCCTTCGGCTCCAAAATAAGATCATGGGAGGAGGCAGAATCATGAGAAGTCAGAGAGAAATGAAAGAATGACTGTACAAGGGAAGGGCGTGAGGTTCTCAGGGCAAAAAGCCGTTTCTGGTTGGACCGAAGTTAACAGGAATTGAATAGGGAGCAAGTGCAGCCAACGCACAAAAAATCTGTCCTTACATGTTGCACACAAGAGATCCAAAATCTTGCCATACAATTTTACCTCTGTAAACAGCATTTCAGAATAATTTAAATGAAAATAGAAGAATTATCGCTGTAAAATTTGACTCTCTTTAAGAGATAAGATATAATAATTTTAACAATTTTGGCCAGTGTAAGCACATGAGATTTCTGGAAAAATATGGGTTGTTTTGTTTTGAACTTAGTCATCTTGTTTGTAGTCACACTGTTTAGTTTCTCTGCCTAAAAGCCTGGTTTATTCATTTAGTAGTAGTAATTTAATTTTTGTTCTGATTTCCTTATACATATCCACCCTTATAACAGCAAGGGTATTTACATGTCATTTCTCAACACCTAGCAAAATACTTAGCCCTTAACCCTGGCTGGTTTGGCTCAGTGGATAGAGCATAGGCCTGCGGACCAAGGAGTCCCGGGTTCGATTCCAGTCAAGGACACATGCCTGGAGTTGTGGGCTCGATCCCCAGTGGGGGGCATGCAGGAGGCAGCCAATCGATGATTCTCTCTCTTCATTGATGTTTCTATGTCTCTCCCTCTCTGAAATCAATAAAAATACATATTTTTTTAAAAAAAATACTTAGCACTTAATACACATTTGGATAAACTATCAAATTATAGTTATGGAAAAAATTCATTACCCTGTATTTTGTCATTACTGTCATTTGTGAGTGGACGATGATGAGAAGTTCCAATAGGTTAATAGACAGGTCCCTAGAGCGCCCAGGCCCCAACGACCTATTCACGGCTAGGACAGGAGGCCAAGGTCATGGTGGGCTCGCTCTGGTAAGTGCGAAACAGGTGCATCCGTGCGGACCCACCAGGTTCCTATCTGCCTAGTCCGCTCCTTACCGCATCCTTGCCTCCCCTGCTCTTCAGGTCCTGGATCTCGGCCATGAGCCGCTGCAACTCCTGGCACGTGTACTTGTACAGCTCATAGTCTCTTCCAGGGTCCCGCAGGTCCACCTCAGCCTCCTCACTGTAGTATTTGCCTTCCTGTGGAGGCAAGGATACAGGCCTTGAGTAGGGAGTAAGTCTCCCAGTCAGGACCAGGGGCATGGGCTGAGATCAATCGCAATGAAACCCCAAAGCAGGTCTCTAAAGGATCTGGTCCTCAAATCAAACGTTTTTCTTCTTTTCAAAATGGAAAAGAACTCCTCTCTTCTGATTATAAAGGAATGCATGCTTAGTGACAGATTCAGTAAGGAAGGCGGAGTATCAAAAACAAAATAAAAATAAATAATAAAAAAAGGGGTGGTGGTGGTAAGAGATCCACCAAACGACTTGCATGCACGCTTATAAGCATAACCAACGGACACACAAGTAGGGGGGCAAAGGCATGTGCTGGGGTGGCGGGAGCAGCTGGGGAGAGGTCCATGGGGAGAAAAGGAGACATATGTAATACTTTCAACAATAAAGAATTTAAATTTTTTTTAAAAAGGCTTCTTGGTTCTTGGGATGCTGCAGCTACAACGGATGGGGAACTCAGGCTCTGGGGAGCCAAGTGAATTCTGGCACCTGGTTAAACAGAGGCTACGTGGAAGGTTGTCCCTGTGACCCTCAGCTCTGCAAACCCACAGCCAGGTGCCCGGCAACAAGCTGTACTCCCTCAGCAGCCCAGCCGCCCGGTGCACCCCACCTGCTCGGGGTCAGAACGATTCCGCTTCCCTTCCACTGGAGCCCCATCACTTCGGATCACTTTGGGCTTCCGCTTCTTGCTCGACTCTGATGACATGGCTGTTTGGTGAGGTCAGGAAGAAACAGCAGAGACCTGTTAAGAGGAGAAAGCTTTTGGATTTTCCTGGATCAGAAAACTTAAGTCTAACGAGCAGTTGTGGTCATTCACACCCTCGGTAACTCAAGAAAAGACTCAACCCTTCAGCCCTAGCGGGGTCGCTCTGCTGGTTGGAGCATCATCCCATACACCAAAAGGCTGTGGGTTCGGGTCCTGGTCGGTGTGTGTATGGGAGGCAACTGATGGATGTTTCTCTCTCTCGCCCCCTTCCTCTCTCAAAGCATATTCTTGGGTGAGGATTTGTTTTTTTTCAGGTGAGGATTTAAAAGAAAAAGAGACAACCCTCCCAAGCTGCAATTAAATCCTCTGTAAAAGGAGGGCGAGGGGTCATCCCTTGGCCTGTCCGAAATAAACTCATCTTCCTCCCCTCCACACCACTGACCAAGCACCTCAGCCCGGCCAATAGCACATCCCTGATACTACTGCCTCATCACCGTGAGCTGGTCCTCGACCTAAGCACTCTGTGGGTAATGTTCTCATTTGCTCTTTATACAAACCTTTCAGATAAGAACAAGCACGTTTTATAGATGAGAACACGGAGCATCAGAAAGCGGAATGACTTGCCCCGGTCGACACAGCTGGGATGTCCCATCAGTGCTCTTAACACCATTATCGTGCTGCCTCCTCTTGCCACCACCTCATCTGGGGATGCCGTCAACTCCCTGGTAACCCTCAACATTTAAGAGAGCAAAGCCTAGCCCTGGCCGGTGTAGCTCAGTGGATAGAGTGTCAACCTGCGGACTGACGGGTCCTGGGTTCGATTCCTGGTCAGGGCCGAGGCCCAGGTTGCAGGCTCGATCCCCAGTAGGGGGCGTGCAGGAGGCAGCCGATCCATGATTCCCTCTCATCATTGATGTTTC